TGTTCTTGGAATCCATTGCGCATTTGCTTAGATGGAACACGCACTGTCCACATCCAAGAGATATCAACGTGGGCCAGCGATTTTGCGCATAGCGACATGACACTCCCAGCTTCAGCTACAGTTGGATCGGCCGCCCGCGTCATGCTTGTTGGAGGACCAGCCGGGAGCGGAAAATCTGCGTTGGCGCATACGATCTGCAAGGATATGGACGAGAAGGGTATCCTTGTTTCGTCATTCTTCTTCAGCCAAATGGGTCAGAATCTCACCTCTGAAGACTTCATGGCCGCCTTCATCCGTGGACTAAGCGGAACCAACCACCAGATCAGGCACCGCATTGGGGAAATCCTCCTTGAGAAGCCTACGATGGCTTCCGCGTCAGCAATTACACAATTCCAGGGCTTGGTCCTTCCTGTCCTCCACCTCCTCCCCGCAGATCGCACCTTCGTCGTCGGAATCGACGCTCTCGACGAACAGACAGACGACGTGATTCTAGATTTCCTGTCGGACTACGTGCCCCAGCTCCCGGCTACCTTCAAGTTTGTCCTCACCACACGGCCTGATCCACGAGTGATGCGCCGCCTCGAAAAGCAATCCCACATCCACATCTTCTCCCGCTCATTGACTGGTAGCTCCAGTCAAGAAGACCTCAAGAGATACGCCCTTTCCCGACTATCCAAGACGGAGTACCACGACAAGATATCTGAAGAGCTTCTGGACGAGTTCGTATCCAAAGCGGAGGGCCTGTTTCTGTGGGCAGAAACGGTCCTCAACCACATCGACAATTCCTACGATCCTCCTGCTGAGCTCGCCGACATTCTTAAAGGGGCCAGCAGACACTGGATGGAGGCGGAAGGGGCCACCAAAAAGCTCGAATCACTTTACGAGCACATTCTATCCAAGTTGGAGTGGACAGATGCTCGATTCGTCGAGAAGTACACCGTGATTATGGGGGCGCTCGTTACGCTCATGGAGCCGATGTCCGCAAGTGGGCTGGCCAATCTCTACTCGCCTGACGGGATCAGCGAAGCCGACATTCACAGGATATGCACATACATACGGCCTTTGCTGCAAGATTACTCTCGGGAAAGCCCTCGGAAGGTTATTTGCCTTCTCCATCTTTCTGTCAAGGAGTTCCTCGGTAAGCGTGCAACACCGCCCTACCTCCTGGATTACGACCTCCACCACTTTGCCTTGTCGCGACTCTCGCTTATCACCATCAAGAAGCACCTTCATCCGCAAGAGGTCCCCAGCCTCAAATTTACCGAAGGAGAATGGGTTTGGGACTTGGATGGGGTAAAGCCAACTATTCCAGTCCTTCCAAAAGAGGATATACTCGAACACCTGTGGTACGCCTGTCGATATTTTGGCAAGCACGAGCTCTCCATTATACGAGATCATTTGGATGACCGCCACGCGACTCTCCTCTATGAAACGGTGGTCAAGGACTCTCAATTCATTGTCGAAGTTTGCTCCTCTATAGGTGGTGTGACAGACATCGTTTCTCTGCGAAACAAGGCTCAGGTTAGACGAAACTCCTGATGCTTCATACAATTGATACTGAAGTTCACTTCAGAAGCTTGTTAAAGAATCCTGCGATCCATCCAGTGTTCGGAAGACGGCACAAACTTATTTTGCCGTAGCCAGATGCATGTACCCTCAAGAAGCGTCCCTCGTCCTTGTGGAGGAAGCAATCCGCATCTACCGCCCATTTGCGACCAAGCCCACCGACTCATCGATGGAATTCGAATTTGCCATGTACCTGTGCTGGTTTGGCATGCTGCTCTCCGATCGCCGTCGATCAATCTCGGGAGGGCTTAGCCTTCAAGCTATGGAAGAAGCCCTGACCATTACCCATCGCCTGGTCACAGGATTCCAAACCACCCCTGATGCGGCTTTAGGGTCTCTACTTCTGCTAGAAAGTCTCATCTTGTCAAAGTTGAGTCGGTATGAAGACTCTCTTCAGGTGGACATCAACTCCGTCGAGCTCTTTCGTCGATTGGAGGCTGCTCAGCCAACCAAGTTTGGGGGCAAGCTTGCGAGAGTTTTGCATAATACTGCAGACAATCTTATATTTCGTGGAAGTCACAAACAAGCAACCCCATACATAGTGGAAGCAATCAAACTTCGACGTTCATTGGCCAGAGACGACCCAGACAAGTACGAAGTACCACTCTCGGAATCTCTCCTCAAATATGTGGTTTCCCTCATTCAGAGCGGCAAGGCACCCGATGCGCTCGAGTTCGGAGAGGAAGCTCTGGCAATACGACGTCGCCTCGCAGTCAGCAACCCGTCCCAGTTCGATGCCCATCTCCCTGCAGCCCTTGTGCGGGTTGCTTGGATCCTAAGGGAGTGTGGCAGGCATGATGATGCCATACACATCTCTGCAGAGTCGGTACAGGTCTGCCGTCGCCTCGCGAAACACGATTCCGCAGCTTACGAGGAACTCCTGGCCGCAAGCCTCCATTCCCACGCTCTTTGTTTGTCAATGACGGAGGCGACTTGGATCGACGGCGTCCAAGTGGCTCACGAAGCTGTCGACTTACGGCGACGACTTGCGCTTGAAGACCGGGGGCGCTTCAGTGATGGGCTGGCTGAATCATTATTCAACCTGGCGTACGACTTAGATCAGTGTGGCCGTAGCAGCGACGCTGTTCCCTTTGCCTTGGAGTCAGTGGAAATCCGCCGTTTCCTGGCGGAGAAAAACCTCAAAGCACACGAACCATCATTGGCCACATCACTCCATTACTATGCGCTTTATTTATCCAAGTCAGCTGCGACTTTGGAGGACTCAATCCAATTTGGTCAAGAAGCTGTTTCAATACGGCGCCAACTCGCACAGGATAATCCACAGAATTTCAGAGAGGATCTGGCTCAGTCATTACTCAACTTGGCCTGGGACTTGGACAGCTGTAACCGAACTAGTGAAGCTGTGCCAATCTCTTTGGAGTATGTCCGCATCCGTCGTCAGTTGGCAGAATTGGATCCTTCAACAAATGAACCTCTGCTGGCAAGCTCGCTTCATTTTCATGCTCTTTATCTATCCAAGACATCTGGGACTTTGGAAGATTCCATCGAATACGGCCGAAACGCTGTTGCTATTCGACGTCGCTTAGCAGCAGATAATCCGGACGACAACGACATAGAGCTGGCGCGATCCCTTCGCAACTTGGCTTTAGCGCTCCACAAGTGTAATCGAAACATCGATGCCATCCCCTTTGCCTCAGAGTCGCTGGAAATCTATCGCCAGTTGGCAGGAGAAAATCCCGAAACACACAATCCATCACTTGCCGACTCTCTACATTCCTACGCGGTCTATCTATCAAAGTCATCTACCACTTTGAAGGATTCTATTCCGCCTGCTCGGGAGGCAGTAGTGATGCGACGCTTGCTAGCTTCTGATCAGCCACAGCTGTTCGGTAGAGCTCTTGCCCGATCTCTCATCAACCTAGCGTTGACTCTCGTAGAATGCGGCCAACACCTCGACGCAGCTCCGCTTGCTTTGGAGTCTGTAGAAATTCGTCGCGCTTTGGCGAGTGAGGATCCTACGGAACACGAGGCGTCATTGGCGGAGTCGCTCCATGTCTATGCGTTCTCTCAATCCCAATCACCCCAAACTTTGCCAAATTCAATCCCATCTGCGAAAGAAGCAGTGGACATCCGGCGTCGGCTGGCTTTGGCAAATCCAAACGAATTCGAGGAGAAATTTGTGCTGTCTCTCAGCAACCTGGCCATATTCTTGTCCAACAGCGATCAAGACAGAGAAGCCATTCCAATTTTCAGAGAACTGGTTGGTATCAAACGTGGGCTGGTGCAGAAGGATCCAACAGACGAGCCGTTGCATGACCTTGCCAACAACCTCCATAATTACTCAATTTGTCTCCTTTTGTCCGGTAACACAGAGGCCTCAATCCAACCGATGGAGGAATCAGTGGGGATTTTGCGTCGATTGGTGTCCCGAAATCCATCTGGCTTCGAGCCAGTCCTGGCATATACCTTGTTCAGCCTTTCCGGCAATCTTAGCGAGTGTAGCCGTTTTATAGACGGCGCATCTGCTTCCCAGGAAGCTGTGGATATGTATCGACGTCTTGTGGAGAAGGATCAAGCCACTTACGAACCCAATCTTGGACTCTCACTCATCAACCTCGCGTGGTGCCTCGCTCATCACCCAGGTCACGAGAGAGCGAAGCTCTCGTCTCTGCGGAGGAGTCACTCACTATCCATCGTCGAACAGCGCTTGCAGACCAAACCAAATTCAAGGATGGCTTGCTGATGGCCCTTGGCATGGTGGCGTTCTGCCTCAACATTTCTGAACGCTATCAAGACTCCCTTCCAGTCATTATTGATGGACTTGCCACCCACCCTCAAGCAGCTCAAGAAATGACCCCACGCCTGCTTGACCGACAATTTGGTGGCCTTCGCAAGGCACACGCCGAGTCGCTGATTGGCCTGGGGAGAGAAAAAGAAGCTATAACCCCGCTTCAGGAGGCTATCATTATTTACCGAAGGTTGTTGGATGGAGCACCCATGAGCCGTCTTTACGGCCAGGAACTACAAAAATGCACTCAGATTCTCAAGAGGATCTCTGGAAACATGGCATCAGTCTGATATTGTGTATTTGTTTAATCACGGATGTTGGCCTCCAGGCTCGTACTCTACTCAGACAAACGACCTGATTTTACATGTTTGCCTTCACATAAAATGACCATGATAAACGGAAAGTTTGAACATTTTCAAAAATAATAAAAGGTGCGCAAACGAAGCCGACCTTACATATTTGAGCGGAGCCTTAGGCCTTGCCAGGACTCGAACCTGGGTTTCAAGAACTTGAATAATCAGAATCTTGAGTGATAACCTCTACACTACAAAGCCGTTGATGGAGCAATTATTACGTTACCACGCAGTCTCCCGTTCCCTGTCTCTTGTCTCTGGCGATCATAGCGATTTATATGACAACCCGGACGCTGAGGCATGAAGTCCACGGGCAGGATAATGGATTCCATTGCTGGAGTGACGAGTCAGGCTGGCCTATTCGTGCTTGTGGGAATTGATAGGTTTCGGCATCGCGGCGCTCGCCCACTGCTCGCTCCCGCTTTCAGGCTCCGCCGTGCGACGCGGCGGCGGCGGTTAAGGAGGCCACAGAACAAAGCCCAATGGATGATTCAGAATTGAATCAGGTCTTCGATGCTGTATCCAGCACCACACTCTGAATGGCTCGAAGGACTCGTTTTCTGGCTATAGCAGCTGTTCTTACCTTGGTTCTTTTCGTCCTCTTTCCCCATTACAAACATGCATGGACGCCGACACCCATCACGTCAAAACCCGACGGCGAGACTACCGAAACCGGACCACTGCCTGGTAGCCCAGTAAACATGAATCAGGCTGAAGACTTAGGCACGACGTCAGACTCATATGGAAAACTTTGTGAAGAAAATAACTGTTTCAGGGGTTCTTGGAAACAGAGAGAACCGCCACTTGTCAACCTCGAAGATGTCAAACCGTGGACAGGCTGTCCAGCTGCTTCAAAGACGGGTGGGAGTGAGACAGATGTAGAACAAGGGAAATCCAGCGCCAGCAGGTTGTTGGATATCGTGAATTGGAAATGGGAACCTACACATAGTTCTTTAGAGGAATGGAATCCTGAAGCTTTTGTGGTCCGGCTTTTGAAAAGTCCAGGTGGGCTGGTATTTCTCGGAGGTACGCCAAAGTATCAATATGATGTGTGTGACTAGTCCTAATTATATGATTCTGGTAGACGAAAACACCAGGGACCACTTTACAGCGCTTCTTGGAAACCTGAACCATAGTAGAATCTCTTTCGACGTTGATCTCAATACGCCTCTACGCTTTAAGACCCAACATGTGCAACAGTATACTCTCTCACCCAGCGATCCGTCGACAGAGCGACTTCGTCTAGCAGCCGACGTTCCGGTATCCAGGTTGGAACGTCCGATTTTAACGTTAATCCAGGACAGTTTGCTTGTCAATGAAGCGGAACTGCAAACAATCTCTCAGAGGGTCGGTAAGGCAGAAGATCATGGGTGGACCAGGGAGCTACCCAGTGTCCATGGCTGGCCTTCACTTGTCGAGGATCTGGCTGCTACACGGAATGAGGAGCGCGAGACAGTGACCGAAGATACCATTGTAATTATCAACACAGGGATTCACGTATGTTCCATCTCTCCTTCCTTGCAATTGAGATCTGATCCAAATCCCATCATCAGTGGTCCCGCCATCAGCTAACACTGCTCAAGGCTCGCAACAATCCAGCCGACGAGCAAGCATACCTGACGGAGGCGTATCGACAGATGGTTCGCGTTGTCAGTGAACAGCTTAAAGTCAATCCACGCGTCTTCATCTATTATCGGGCCACAACACCCGGGCACCCCAAGTGTTACATACACTCCTCTCCCTACAAGACACCTGGAGCTGCGCAAGCCTTGGAGAAGAACGTGGTCAGCCGGCTGCTCCAAGGAGTAGCTACAGAAGCCGAACGCCAGCAGAAACGCAAGTGGGATTGGGATTTGTTCCCAGTCCATAACGAGGTGTGGCGACGGGCGATCATTCGGCTAGAACATGAACGCAAGATGCTGTTTGCGAAGCCATTCCCGCTGCAGAGACTATATGCTAAGTGGCATTATCTGGATATATGGAGTCAGGCCTTGCAGCGCCCTGATGCGCATTATGACCCTTCCCAAGATTGCTTACGCTGTGAGCAAAAAGCTGTTTCGACGCTTCCAATATTTCTGACGAGGTTTTGTTATAGGGTGTTCACCAGTTTTATTTGATCAATGGACTCGCCATCTTCACCATATACTGCAGATGAAGCACAGAGAAGCGGCTCACAGATTACGAACTGACGATCTATTTAATTAAATTTACGATATGCTCGTATAAATCAAGAGCTGACGTCCGAAGGAATGGTTAGATCACGTTTCTCCTCGAACTCTGAATAGAATTACGATACCTTTATATGTTTTGGTGCGTCATCCTTTAGTGCCAATGTAACTTGCGGCAAGGCTGAATCAGGGTTTTTCAGCTCCTAATGTCAACTCCTGTGTCAAACCACCCAAAGCTCCAGTCCACTTAGTGACCACTGTAACGGTCTCACCATTCCTATGTCTGCGGGTCCAACTCGAGGTGTTCAATGGCCCAACGATACATTGGTGAACGGACTCCCTCTTGGATGACATTTAGGCAATGCTACTCTGCGCTTCTGGTACACCTATCATTCACTCTTACATTATTCTTTTCTCCTTGCTCGTCCGCACCACCAAACCTCGCTCCTATTCGCCGACTCTCAACGTTAAATGAAGACCGCAGGAATGGAACCAGTATACCACCGCACCAAAGCACTTTGTTGAATGGGAGGAACCAATGGATTGGGATTAGGAATGACGAGGACCTGGTGCCAGTTTTATTGATTCCTCCTTCCAGAGAGACACCCCCACAGACCACATCGCTCACTTCCTTGCAAACTTTCAATACAAGTACATCCCCATTGGAAGCTCCGACCCTCCTGAGCACGTCTACGGTCATCTCGTGGTCCTTTCTTCCACCAACTACCGTGACTGTTCCGCTCCTGATCCCACCAGAGACACAGACTATAACCGAAATTTTGACCCACGTATCAACCATTCTGATCACGCCCGTACCCCCAACACCATTACCACAATCTTCTTCGGGTCTTTCTTCCAGTTCCAGGACGTACCCTGCTCCAGGGAGCACATGGTCACGCCCTAGTCCAAGCCCTGCACAACCAATCACCAACGACAAACTCCCCCCACTGACAGGAAAACATGTGTGGACGCAACCTACAAACCTGAAAGACCTCACCCCATTCAATGTTACGTCATTTCCTGGAGGCAAGAACAACCTCAAATTCATCACCGGTGTCCCATCGATGATCTCTACCTTTGGTGGAACCGCATCCTCGCCCTCCAAACCAGGTTCCAAGCATGGAAACTCCGGGGTGAACGCGAAAGATGCCTTCCCTCCTCCCCTGCTATCCGTAGCATCCTCATCGACTAATCCATTAGCGACCTGGCACGCAGACGAAGTCTCCCTCCAGTTGTTCTATCCGAAAGGAAGCATAAACCCTGCACAAAAGCCGCAAGGAGGGATAGAGTTCTACGCCTCTCCTCTGCCTTTATCAGCCCTCCCATCACTTCCAATGCAAGGAGACACGAGGGAGAGCCCTTTAGGGACACCAGCAACGAACGTCACACTCCGCTACAGCGTCTTCTTCCCGAAAGACTTTGACTGGGTCCTAGCTGGCAAGCTCCCAGGCCTGTATGGTGGCCACACCGGGTGTTCAGGCGGAAACGCTGCCCTCGACTGTTTCAGTACGCGGTTGATGTGGCGAAAAGACGGGTTGGGGGAATTGTACCTCGTACGTTACGTGCACTCTCTGCGTTCAGCATCCTGTGCTTAGTATTGACATCAAACGCCTCCGTCTAGTATGCAGCGAAAGACAAACAAACGGATGCTCTATGTGACGCTCCTACATCCGTCTGCGACGCAGCGTACGGGTTCAGCGTCGGACGGGGGAGCTTTGCCTGGTCGGCGGGTGCATGGACGACGGTAGAGCAGACCGTCGTGCTCAACACTCCTGGAAAGCAGGACGGATGGTTTAGCCTGGACGTGAACGGGAAGAGGGTCATTCACGTTGGTGGAGTCTTTTACAGAGATGTACTTTGGCCAACGGCCAAGGGACCCAAGACGAGCACAAAGACCCCGCCGAACTTGCCAACCAAACCCCAGGAAACACCGACCCCTACAACCCAGGTCAATCCTGATCCTAATAATACGCCCGCGCCGACGTCTCCCCCGGATGACGACCCCCTTGGTGATATCCTTGGGCCACTGTTGAGTGAGATTGGAAAATTGTTTAGGAGGGGCGAGCCGACTGTAAGCTTTGTCCCCTTGCCGTCCGAGTCAAACGAACCCGCAGAAGCTGCGGTCGTCCGCGTCACGAACCAGTTTGCAACGGCACAGAGGCAAGGCGAGTCCATCGGATTCATTGGGATTTTCTTCAGGTGCGTCCGCCGATGCGCCTCTAGTGCGCTCTCAGACTCGTCCTTGCTCATTCGTTCCGCTCCCAAGCACGTTTTTTGGGGGCCACGACGAGAAATATGCAACGCCTCGCGACCAATACGTGTGGTTTAAGGATTTCGCGTTGGCTGTGAATGGATAGGCGTATACTGGGGTATAGCGAGCCCAAGAAGGATGTCGAAGGTAGATGTCAGCGCATACACACATCGTTAATAAGATTATACAATAAATACAGGGTGAATATGATCCTTTAGTTGGTTCCGGGGGTATTAAGCAACGCTTGCTATATCCTATGGCTGATCCGAGTCCCCTATCCCTTTTTTGAGTCGCCTGGCAGTGTACACACACCGCGGGGCCAATAGGAGCCAAGACCAACGCTAGCTAAGACTCCTTGTTTTGATCTTCGCTCCCATCGCAGACACGATTTCGAAGCACAGGACGAGGAGAAGTTGGCCGATAAGGTCCATAAGAGCTGAATGCACCGGAAGTGCGTACACGTCTGGGTCCCTGCCCTTAGCCCATAGCCAGTTTGTAAGCCAGCGTGCGATGACGAGGGATGCGAAGACCTATCGACGCAGAGTACATATTGGTCAGCTGGATAACACAGTCGTATTTAAAGAAGATGAACTCACGGCGAAACAGAAGAATAGAATCGAAAATACCACGAAGAGAAGTGGCATGTCTAGCCATCCTAGTCCACTGAGTATCCCGAGGAAAACTATTTCGACGGGGATGGTTATGGCAAGGAGGGTGAACATTGCGAGGCGGGGACTAGTCTCTAGGATGCGGATACTTGCGGATGGTGTGGGGTGTGTGAT